TTAAAATGGGAAGACTTTGACCTCATTCTTGGCTTTAGAATCAAACTCTTTTTCTTTGGCATGCCTTTGTTGATTCTTCTCTGTTGTATTGTTGAGAACCGTATGAAAAGGGAAATATGTGTTATATTATTTAATCTAGTCTACGAATTTATGAGTGGAATTTTTTGAGAGGTTGGGTCATGGGTTCCATTGTTGTGAGTTGGGTTGAGTCGACTTGATTAAAGTCCAGGTAATATTTTAGGTATTTTAGATTGTGGCTTGGTCATTAAGTTGGATCAATTGTGGTAGGTCTTTCTCCTTTATGCTGAGACGATTTGGAATAATTTAGAAAGAGTGTGTTGTCTAATCGTTGAGAATGTCTTTGGTGATCCAAAAGTAGCTCAAAATCACATCAAAGAAGGCTACATATACTATATACTATAGGAGCCAAAAAATAAACTCATACCACCTAATAAGGCAACTCCCACGCCACGTGTGTAGCCACCATTAACAAGGGCCAAAACAACCTCCAAAGGCAACTGCACCAACCACACTAAAATGTGCACTCCATACTGATCTATGATCATAATAACTGTCAAGTTGCTGGAAATTGAAATGGATCTAGCTACGAGCCGCAACAAAAACATGTGATAGAAATCGGTTTAGCAGATCCAATACACAATTTAATTAAAACAAAAATAAATTTTCGAGAAACATAATATTGATCAAGTTTGTTACCTTCGAAATGACAAAGGCATGTCATAGATATCGACGTCATATATCTTCCACGCTATCCTCTGTCTATAGGAATAGTGTGTGGGCATTGGACACCTTTTTGGGACAGTGAATTTGGAACAAACTTGAGTTACACTTTAGCATTTGACTTATAAGTCTCCTTATAAGACTCGGACCTAAAATCTAATAAGTTAATAATTTTTTTATTAGGATTAATGTATTGACCTCCATCTCGTGGATTGAGTCTTTGGACTCTTCTATGAGACTAACAAGTCACATTTAATTGGGTTTCCAAAACTTAATGAATCATTTCTGTCTAATTGAGCTTAAAGATGACTCAATTGTCTAGCTTCCAAAGATCAATCAGCTCATTTTGGAATCATAAATCATATATATTACTAAAAAGTCAAATTAATCAAATTTAATTTTAAATAACATAATTAAAATTATTTAATTTTTTCTAATTTTTTTAATTAAAATTAAAATTTTCTAACTTTTTCTAATTTTTTCTATCACAAGCTAAGCAGGGAGACCTTATAGTCCTACAACTTTGACCTCCAATAGCCAAAAATTGATTAATTAATCTCTTTAATTAACCAATTTCTCAATTTTACGATTAACTCAAAGTGATGTCACTATAGACCAATGGTTGTACTCTCATGTATGTAGCTGAGTTATGTCTATGGATATAATCATAACTGCTCATTCGATCATTCACAAAGTGATTCATGATTCTAGCTAGACGAAGTTACACCGTTTTGCCCTACGTCCCACCTTTTGCTCCTTGAGCCCCATTAATTCTCTAATGGATAGCTTTCCTTGTTCCCATCGTAGGATAATCTCTCTTAGGATATCAACAAGGCAGATATATATCATGTTATTCAAGTCCCAAACCAATACTTCAATGATCTATTTGGGAACCTCACAAATTTGAGTGATTTCAAATATTGATGAATTTCAAATGAATCTCCTTATTTGTTATCACATGAGAGAGAATCATTTGAAATTTTACCTAATTTCAAATCGTGCTCTTTAAGTAAAAAATTTTCCTGACCAAAATTATCACATTTTGTAAGTTATACTTTAACAATGTTTGTTTTGGTAACTGTATTTTAAACTTAGTTCATTTTAGTCTCTATATTCAATATTTTTGTTTTGGTCCATGTGCTTTTAAAAAGTGACTATTTTTTCCTTTAATTTTATTCTTAATCTAATTTTTCTATCACAATTTCAACGTAACACTACAATCACTACATTTTTTAAAATGTAAACATTACTTTATACTAAATAGTTTATGTTAGGTGTAAAATTTGTGTTAAAATTTTACAAAGAGAGACAAATATGATCACTTGTTAAAAGTACATGTATCGAAATGAACATTTTCAAAGTATATTAATTAAAATAAACCAAAATTACAGGGATCAAAATAGTATTTTAACGAAATAGTTTTCTTTATCTTTAATCATTAAATATTAATTTAGATGGAGATCAGATGTTTAAAGTTTAAAAGTTGCGGGGTCCATGTTTGATTATTACAAGGTTTTTTCTTGTGTTTTAATAATAATCGAGGGTTCTATATATACCGTCCATTTCGATGTATTGCCTTCATTTTATATCTTTTACCATGAATTTTTTTTTTTACAATTTTTATCTTTATATGAAAAAGATAAAAAGCTTAAAATAAATCTATGCCAAAAACACCGCGGGTTATTTTATTTTAGTTTTTAAAATTTTATTCTCCAAAATTTATGTAAGAAGTTCATTTTAATTTTTGACATCAATTTTTCTTAATAAACTATTTAGCAGAAAACATGATATAGACGCATCTTTTTTGTTTATCTACGGGTGTTTGGTTCAAAACGGGGAGTAAGATTTGTTAAGAAAAACCTAGCAAATCCACGTTTGTTTTATAGTTTTATAAAGCCGAGTTTACTACAGTCAATATTATTCCACCCTCATACTTCTTACAGTAAATACTATTCCACCTCCAGGTACTTTATCCTTATTCCCCAAATTGTTATACTAGTGTATATTTTGTCTTTATTATCTTTTTTAAAATACATTAAATTTTTAATTAAATATATTAAATAAATGAATTAATTAATTAATTTTAATTTTAATTATAAAATAAGTAAATCAATTTAATTAAAATTGAATGTAATAAATAATTGTAAGCCAAGTGTAACTGCTGGATTATTCTTAAGTGGGCATTTAAAGTCACGTTCCGGTTAATTAGATGTTAGATTTCCATATGTATTTGTTTTCTTATTAACTAATTATTTGAAAAATTAAAAGTAAAGATTAAATTAGATTTTTATGTCAAAACTTTACACACTAACACTAAAATAGGACCTTTGATAATCGGGAGATCAAAACAAAATAAATATGAAAATAATTAAGCCATAGTCAAAATTTAAATCAAGCAACCAACATGAGAT